GTTTTTTGAGACAGGGTCTCACTATGTAGTTGAGACTGACCTGGAACTCACTATGTAGTCCAGGCTGGTCTCGAACTCACAGCGATCCTCCTGCCTCAGCCTCCCAAGTGCTGGGATTACAGGAGTGCACCACCACACCCGGCTATCAAAGTTTGTTTTAACAAAAACTTTTTTTCTGTAACTATCACCCAGGGTCCAAATCATTATGAAACTAAGATAGCATGTAACATGATCTAAACCAAGTACTACTATATTAATCATATTTTCTCTCCAATTTCCCTATTAACTAGCAATTTAGTAGATATATCAATATCTAACTCATGACTTTTTACCACTATAGCCTAAACAATTTTATAGTATTTTTAGTTCATTCCTAATAAAATATCATTAACAAATGAAATCTTTAGGCAATTCATATACATTTTTTTTTTTTTAGCCAATAGTTTTATGTCCCTAATCAAATCTTATACTGGTTCCCAAATGTTGAAAAATAAAAAGTTTGGCATTATCACCAAGTAGGTTGTAGCCAAAGGGAAAAGGAACAGTAATTATTGAAGATTCAAGAAACAGCAGCATAAACTTCAATTTGGGAAATTTTTGAGAAAACATCAAACCAGTACTTAAAGCCTAGCCTGTTCAAATGCAGCAATTCTACTCAACATTTATTGAATGCCTGACCTTGCTAGGCCCTATGCATAAACATCACATGGCCCTGACCTCAAGGAACTAGCAACCTTATCTGTCAGAAGGCCATATAAACCAATATATAATGATAATTGATATATCATTATCCACACTTTTCCATAGCTTCAGTTATAGTGGTCCCCTCAGACTGAAAATATTAAATGGGAAATCCTAGAAATAAGTTCATGAGTTTTTAGAAATAAATTAATGTGTTGTAACCTGCAAGCCTTTTAAGTAACATGATGAAATCTTGCACTTTCCCACTCCATCCTACCTGGGATGTGAATCATTACTTTGTCTAGCATATTCATGGCATACTTGCTATCTGCCCTATTAGTGACTGAAAATATTTAAAAAAAAAAAAACCTCCATTCACATAACTTTTGTTACAGTATGTTACAGGTGTTCTGTTTTTTATAATTAGTTTTACTGATTACTCTCTTACTGGGTCTTGTCTATAAATTAAATTTTACTCATACACTATATATCGATATGCATGAATATATGGGGAAATCATAGGAGATATAGGGCTCAGGTCTACTGTCAGTTTCAGTATCTGCTGGGGGTCTTAGAACACATCCTTTAGGGATAAGGGGGAATGACTGTAATAGTCATGTGGTGGGCATGACAGGACAGAAGAGGAAGAGCACCTGGATCTGATTAGAGGGGACAGGTGGTATGTGTGATGGATATTATTAAAGAAAAAATAGAGAAAAGCATCCTAAGCCTGGCACTGCCACAGGAAGATGTGCTGTAATGTGAAAGGAAAGGTGGCCAGAAAAAAAGCATATGGAATGTCTCTACTTAGAGACATGGCTGGGATAGGTTTTTGAGTAATAGCACATTGAATAAATCACTATACAAAATGGTCAGGACTTTTATTTTTAGCCTTTTACATACATACAAAATAAGTATAACTCAGGAGTACCATGTATTTTCCAAAATTAAATTGTGTCTCATACTAAAATACATTTCAACTTTTAGCACTAGATTTCACCAAAGTATTTGAGTAAATGAATTCAAACAACATAAAACCTTCCTTAAGGAACACCTATCAGAGTTTAGTTTAATAGAACTGAAGTTTAGAAAGAAAAAATTATTTTCAAAATTACCAAGCAGAGGTTAGAAAGATCAATGATATCAAAAGCATATTCTTGCTGCTTAAGAACAATCTATTTATACAACAGCTTCAAAGAGAAAAGAGTTTGGGGAAACAATGATTTGAAAATTTTGGTTCTATCTTAAAAAGTAGATTGATGCTGCTTAGAAATCTGAGAAAACAATTTTAAAAGAGTAGACTTTTAAAAGCAACAAAACCAACATGGGTTTTCATAGCTTCCATTAAAAATAAATAGTTTTAGGAGGCAGTAAGAGATGTGGACTAACAGTTAAATAAAATATCTTCAAATGTGTACTTTCACACTTTGATTATGTACTTCAAAATGAAGTAGTTAATATAGAGAAATTTATAGTTACATTTCAAGGTGAAATTCTAAAAACTATATAGACATTTTCTTAAGGAAATATAGGCCATACAATGTGAATGTTTACAATGATAAAACTTCTCAAATAGAGAAATTAATGTAAACTAGTATTGAAA